CGGAATGCGGGTGGGGCAGCACAAGCACTCCTGCGGCCAGTGTGGGAAAAGCTTCAGCCGGGGTTCGTCCCTCAACCGGCATCAGCGGGTCCACGTCGGGGAGAAACCCTTCACCTGCTCCAACTGCCGGAGAAGTTTCATGTGCAGCTCCACCCTTAAGGACCACCAGAAGACCCACTGCCAGGAGAAACCCTACAAATGCCCCAGCTGCGAGAAACGCTTCGCTTCCACCAAATCTCTCAAAAAACATTGCAAGCTCCACCTGGAGAACGGGGCGTACCGGTGTTCCGACTGCGGGAAAAACCTCACTTCCAACTCGGCTCTTGTCATCCACCGGCGGATACACACCGGGGAGCGACCCTACCAGTGCCCCGACTGCGGGAAGGCCTTCATGGCCAACAAGTCCCTCAACAAGCATCGCAAGAGCCACACGGAAGACGCGATCTTCGTCTGTCCGGATTGCGGGAAGAAGCTCACTTCCAAGTCCACCCTCATCATCCACCGGCGAATACACACCGGCGAGAGGCCCTACGAGTGCCCCGACTGCGGGAAACGCTTCATGGCCAACAAATCGCTCAGCAAACATCGCAAGAGTCATATGGGGGAGGGGACCTATAAGTGTCCCGAGTGCGGGGAAACCTTCCCAAAAAACTCAGCCTTCGTAGCCCACCTCAGGACCCACAGGGGCCAGCCCCCGTATCCGTGCTCCGACTGCGGGGAAGCCTTCTTGGAAAGCTCGTCTTTCAAGCGACACCGGAAAAAACACTTGGTGGAGAAACCCTACCAGTGCTCCGACTGCGGGCTCGGCTTCACCGTCCACTCCGCCCTCCTCCTCCATCAGAAGAGCCACGTAGGACCCCGGCCTTACGTCTGCTCCGACTGCGGCAAAGCTTTTCGGGAGAGCACCACCCTCCGTAGGCACCAGCGTATCCATACGGGTGAGAAACCCTACCGCTGCTCGTACTGCGAGAAGAGCTTTCGGGCCAGCTCCACCCTCATCATCCACCGAAGGATCCACACCGGCGAGAAACCTTATAAATGCACCAAATGCACCAAGTGCTTCATGTCCAGCTCTTCCCTCATGAAGCATCTGCGGACGCATCTCCGCAAGGAGCTGCTGGTGGGTCCCACTCAGTGACTTTGTTTCGCCCAACCCCTTCAAGGTGCCTTTTGGGTGCCCGCCTCAGCGTCCAATGGGTGGATGGATGGATGGAGACCCCCTTCCACGCCCTGTCCGTCCCAGACGTGCATTTCAGCGTCGTTCTCGCCTCCACACACGCTTAATGACGGAGGATCTCGGGAGCAGGCGTGGGGCGTGGCGCGGCGCTGGGGGACGGCGGTGGCCGCAGGGATGCTGACGCCCCGACGGGATGGAGGGCTGTGGGGTTTGGGGACCGCTCGTGCGTTGGGAACTCTCCGGAGGAGAACATCTAGGTCCTCCTTTAGAGGCTGAAAAGCCTCCTTTGTAGATTCCCGCCGTCAAAAGCATTTAAATATTTTAGGAGAAGGCCCGTCCTGAAAACGAGGGGTCTCCGTCCCCCCGAGGTTCGGGCCCTTCAGATCATCTGCTTTTATTGGATACAGCATTTTCCAAACACCCATCTCCTTCCCCAATTTCCCCCTCGTCCTCGCTGTCTCTCACCCGATTTTTATGCTGCCGCCTTCAAAAATACACCACGATGAATTTGGCTCGGCTCTTGACGCCTTGTTTGGGGGTTACCTGCTTTAAAATGAGGTGCAATAAAGTGGGACTGGGTTTCCGGGAGTTGGGGGGAATCGTGATTTGATTGCTCACGGTTGGGAAAGCTGGGGGAGAGGTGGAGGACCCCCACGGCTCCTCCGCCCCACATCTCCGGCTCGTCCTGGCGCTGTCCTGAGCGGGTATGATGCTCTTGCTCGGCGGAAAGCCGAGCGGCATCCAAGGTTGAGCGCGTAGGCGGGGTGTGTGAGGATGCGCCCGGGGACGTGGTCCTGGGGAGCCACCTAAGCCCCAACCAGAAGCCGGAGAACCTGGAGCTCCTTGATCGTGGAGCTGGAGGGGACGTGCCTACGGGTGGGGTGGCCTTGGGGGTGTTCCTGCACCCGGGGAGGGCTGTGATGAGGCTGAATTCCTGCGCATCCCAGCATCGAGGGCACGGTGGGGTGGTGGGGACGGGCTCCGGGATGTGCCCCAGCCCCGGCGGCTCTGCCCCTCAGCGCTCCCCGTGTGGGACCAGGGACCGCATCCGCTCTGCTTCCCTTCTCCAGGACATCCTCAGCGGCACCATGAGCAGGTGCGTCCCACCCTGGGCATCCTCACCGGGGGCTGTGGGGCGGCACGGGTGGGCTCCTGGAGAGGTTCGGAAGGGACCCCCGGGTGGAGGCAGGGCGGTGGGTGCTGCGGCCGCAGGGATGGGCGAGGGGGTTTGGGGAAGGTGGGAGCTGCTGCGTGGGGTGAAGATCGGCCATCGTGGTGCCCGGGAGAGCGTCACCGTACCGTTGGGAGAGCTCAGAATGCGTTCCCCAAAAACCCTCTGGAGCCAGAAGAATGGAGGGAGCGGGGAGGACCATGGGGCAGAGGCAAGAGATGGATCTGGGCTGGATCCTTCCCCGGAACGTCGCTGGGAAGAGTCTGGCTGGGTCCAACTTCTCCACGCGATCCAGCGTGCCCACCCTCGTCCGGTACTGGGGAGCCCAGAAGTGGGCAGAGCGCTCCAGATGTGGCCTCATCCCATCTGCGTGCTCCAGATGTGGCACCGCAGAACGCTCCAGATGTCACCTCAAGCCCACGCTGCTCCAGATGTGGCACCATGGAACCATCCAGATGTCACCTCAAGCCCGGGCTGATCCAGATGTGGCACTGCTGATTGCTCCAGGTGTCACCTCAAGCCTGGGCTGCTCCAGATGTGACGCTGCGGAATGCTCCAGATGTCACACCAAGCCCATGCTGCTCCAGATGTGGCACCATGGAGCCCTCCAGATGTCACCCCAAGCCCACGCTGCTCCAGATGTGGCACCATGGAACCCTCCACATGTCACCTCAAGCCTGGGTTGCTCCACATGTGGCACCACGCAGTGCTCCAGATGTCACCTCAAGCCCATGCTGCTCCAGATGTGGCACCATGGAACCCTCCACATGTCAGCTCAAGCCCACACTGCTCCAGATGTGGCACCACGGAACCCTGCAGATGTCCCCTCAAGCCCATGCTGCTCCAGATGTGGCACCACGGAACCCTGCAGATGTCCCCTCAAGCCCATGCTGCTCCAGATGTGGCACCACGGAACCCTCCAGATGTCACCCCAAGCCCATGCTGCTCCAGATGTGGCACCACGGAACCCTCCACATGTCAGCTCAAGCCCATGCTGCTCCAGATGTGGTACCACGGAACCCTCCAGATGTCACCCCAAGTCCATGCTGCTCCAGATGTGGCACCATGCAATGCTCCAGATGTCCCCTCAAGCCCACGCTGCTCCAGATGTGGCACCGCAGAACCCTCCAGATGTCCCCTCTAGCCCACGCTGCTCCAGATGTGGTACTCCACCGCTCTCTAGATGCGGTACAGTGCCCTGCTCCGGGTGTTCTCTCGCCCTCAGGCTGCTCCAGATGTGTTTCCACCCACCCCGCCCAGGCAGGGTTGCAGCTGCGCTGCACTGGTGGCGATGGCTCCATCGAGCCAAGGGCAGGCAAAGCCTCCAGAGCTCCGAGAGCAGCCAAGTTTCGTTTCTCGAGCCGGCAACCGCCCTGCTGCCCTTTGGCCTCTGCGGACGTCGACCCGGAAAATGCAAAGGAGCAGCCGGGAGGAGCGATGGCAGCTCAGCAACGCCGGGAGATGACTTTGTGCTCCTTTTGCCGGGAGCCCTTCAAGACCTTGCTGTCCTTCACGGGGTGCAAGCATCGGATCTGCAGCTCTTGCGCCAGCTGGCTCCATGCGGGCGCAGCCGGACGATGCCCTCGGTGCTGCCTGCTCCCTTCGGCGGGGAAAGGCGGCAAGGACAAGGGATGGGTGGATGGAGAAGGGCTTGGAAGCCGGCCGGCAGAGCCCGCTGAGGAGAAGTGCCAAGAGCACCAGGAAGCCCTGGAGATGTTCTGCGTGGAGGACCGGAGCCCCGTCTGCCGGCGCTGCGCCGAGTCGCAGGCTCACCGCGCCCACGCTGCTGTTCCCCTCGAGGAGGCTGCCGAGGAGTACAAGGTACGGAGGGTGCTGCCGACCTCCGTGCCTGAAAAGGGGAGGGCACGGGGCTGCCTGCGCCCGCGCCCAGCAGGACCAGACCCTGCCAAGTACCCTGCCAAGTCCTGCAGCGGTGGACGCTTGTGGGGAAGGGGGAGGCTGTGGCGGTGGGCGGGCCCGGCAAATTCACCGCCACCGCTTCTATCGAGAGGGGTCTGCACGCCGAAACGGCCAGGCGATGGCTTTATAGCGAGGTAATCATTGAATCATCGAATCGTTGAGGTTGGAAAAGACCTTGAAGATCATCCAGGCCAACCGTTGACCCAACACTGCCCAGTCCACACTCAACCCATTAAGGGGAGAGTAGCAATTTCATGTTTCCTGGCTTGGGGGCTGGATTATTTTTAATGAAAATAAAAACTAGGCATCACTAAGGTTGGAAAGGATCTCCGAGATCATCAGCCCAACCATCAACCCAACACCCCCATGCCCACTAAACCATGTCCCCAAGTGCCACCTCTGCCCGTTTTTTGAACCCCTCCAGGGATGGGGACTCCCCCACCTCTCTGGGCAGCCTGTTCCAATGCTTGACCACCCTTTCCGTAAAGAAATTTTTCCTAATTTCCAACGTAACCCTCCCCTGGCACAGCTTGAGCCCAACGGCAGCTTCAGCTGCTGGTTTCTCCCGGCAAAGCCGCCTTGGGCACCTGCAAAGCTGGGGATTTGCCCGGCCGTGGACCCGGGCGCGAGGTTTTTCTTACGTTTGTAACTCTCGCGGATGCGGTCGCGTCCTTCCCTCACCGTGCTTGCTTCCCCTCGCCAGCTGAAGCTGGAGGCGGCGGCGAAACTCCTGCAGCAGCAGAAGGTGGAAGTGCAGAGCTTGAAATTCCAGGAGGAGGAGAAGCTGGCCAAGTGGGAGGCAAGTGTCACCCTCTCCGAGCGGTTTCGCGTTGTCCCGCAGGATTTCGGAGCGGTCCGGCACGTGCCGTGGTTTCGGGAGCTTGCTTGGGTGCGGGGAGGCTGTGCCGGGCGGGATGCTCACGTGCCGCCACGGCAAGCGGGAGCACGAAGGGCCGAGTCCTTGCAAAGCCGCCGGACGTTGCAGCTCCTCCGTTCCTCGTTAACGATACGGTTCCACCTCATTAAGCGGGGTGGGAAGGGGCCCTTCCTCCCGCCGCACGCTACAACACCCAGCGTGAGGTTGCTCGCCACCATCACGGGAACTTGAATCCCGGTCCAAGGGCAAACGAGGCGTAATCGGGTCCTTGAACGGACTTGATTACGGCTCAGGGAAACACCAGCGGGAGCAGCCGGGGCGTTGCCGTCCTGGCACCGACCACCGTGGCTGCGATGACCCTGACCGGTGCTGGGGACCGCTCCGGCTCTGCCACCGTCCCCAGCCGTGATCCCGAAAGCTCATCCCGCCGCTCTCACCCATGTCGCCTTCTCCGACCCATGTTTCTCCGGGGGATTTATGGGAAGTTCTGCACAGTAGCTGCTGATCTGTACGTAGCAGGAGAGCGGCTCTGGAGAGACCTGAGGACAAACCCCAGGAGCAGTTGTCCCCAAACCATGTCTCTAAGCATCTCTCTCTGCAACGTGCCATGACAAACCATCTCCCCAAGCTCCCAACGGGTTTCCACCACCTTTTCCCATTTCACCCCCCTTTCTTTTCCCCCCACCCCTGCAAAGAATAAAACTTCCAGAGAGAGCGAGAAGATCAAGAAGGAGTTTGAGAAGCTGCACAACTTCTTGGATGAAGACGAGGAGAAGCTCCAGCGGCGGCTGAAGCGGGAGAAGAAAGGCACGGCCGCCAAGCTACGCGGCAACGTCGCCCAGATGACCAAGCAGAGCCAGGCACTGGGTGACCTCATCGATGAGATCAACAAGAGGTGCCGGCAGCCGGCTCCGGGGCTGCTGAAGGTGAGAACCCCCTTTAGATTCACCACAGCGGCTTCGCAGGGAGGTTACCATTACCCTTCATGCGTGCATCTCCTAAAGCTCCCAGGACCCACATTTTGCAGCTACCGGAAACACCCAATTCCTCTCATTTTTAACAAGACCCAAGCCCAAAACGCCCTTAGCGATTTATGCAATGACTTTCTGGCGGCGTGGCTGGTGGAGGAAGAAGATGGAGCCTCAAAGAGCAAAGCTGAGGCTCCTTGGGTTTCTGTAACCACTCTCCCCCTATTTCCCTGCAGAGGGAAAGTCGGAAAATGTGATGCTTGTAATTCAGAGTAGGGGAAGGAAAGGCTGAAGGTGAGGTTATAGTCCCCACCGTACGCGGCACTGGTGAGGCCGCACCTGGAATGCTGTGTCCAGTTTTGGGCCCCTCACTACGAGGAGGACGTGGAGGTGTTGGGGCGTGGCCGGGGAAGGGCAGCGGAGCTGGGGCAGGGTGTGGAGAACAGGGCTGGTGGGGAGCGGCTGAGGGAGCTGGGGGTGTTCAGCCTGGAGAAGAGGAGGCTGAGGGGAGACCTCATCGCTCTCTACAACTCCCTGAAAGGAGGTGGTCATGAGGTGGGTGTTGGGCTCTTCTCCCAAGCAGTTGGCGATAGGACAAGAGGAAATGGACTCAAGCTGTGCCAGGGGAGGGTTAGGTTGGAAATTAGGAAAAATTTCTTCACGGAAAGGGTGGTCAAGCACTGGAACAGGCTGCCCAGAGAGGTGGGGGAGTCACCATCCCTGGAA